CCAGGTGTGAGTGTCCGGTGCCTTAACCACCACGCCACCTGCTGGTCCCAAAACAGTCTGATTTTTATCATTTCTTTTTTTAAAAGATTTAATTTTATTTATTATTACTATTTTTAAAAATTTATTTAATTTTATTTGCTTTATTTATTTATTTTTTAATTTGACTGAAGAGGGACAGAGTAAGAGAGAGAGAGGGAAAGTGAGAAAGCAAGCCACCAGGTCTGGAACTCAAACCTGTGGTCAGCCATGTGGGAGACCAGTGTCCACAACCACCATGCCACTTGCTGGCTCCTATTATTATCCTTTTTTTAAAGAGAGGTTTTTTGCTGTAGGGCACATGTGCTCGCTGGAGAGACAGACAGACAGGAAATGAGAAATCACCCCCTTCCCAGTGGAGTGACCACACTGCAATCCCTTTTCCATTCTCCTCAGGATTTTGGACACTCACGCACATGTGCCTGGCCTGAGTTTTAAGCCACGGGGTCTGGGACTCGAACCACAGTCAACTATGTGGAGTCCAGCAACGTCACTGTTATGCCATCTGCTGGCCCTTGTTTATTATTATTATTTAATTTGATCAGAAAGAGACGTAGAGAGAGAGACAAAGAGGGGGAAAGTGAGAAAGCAAGCTGTCAGGTCACCCATGTGGGAGTCCAGCACCTTAATCACCGCGCCACCTGCTGGCTCCAATTTTATAATTTCTTACATCGTGTTTAATTGCCCTTTTCCTTTCGTGGCTTATTTCAAAGTTTGAATTAATAAGTGAAGTAACTATTAATAATTTGTGAAGTACCTCTGTAAAGACAGATCACATGGATGTATTTACCTTAATGTCTTACCAGAATAACAATAAAGACAAGTAATTTTTGGTGATTACTATAACATTTTGTTGTGCTTCTAACTGTGGGTATTTACCATAAGTTAAATTTAAGTACTAATATTATTTGCATATTATCTTTTTTATTTTTTAAGAATTATTTTTGCTATAGGGTGTGTGCACTCACCAGACAGACAGACAGACAGACAGACGAAGACAGTGAGAAGGAAAGTGAGAAATCACCCCCTAGGGGAATGACCATGTTGTAATCCCTTCTCATCCATTCTCCTCCTGGGACTTTGGGTATGCGTGCACATATGCCTGATGTGAGTTTCAGACTTCTGTGTCCAGGACTTAAACTGTAGTCGACTGTGTGGGAGCCCAGTGCTTAATTACTTACACTACTTGTGCCCTGTATGTTACCTTTATACATATCGATAACATACTGAAGGTTGCTGCTTAATGGATTCCCCATCTTCAACATGCAGGAATTGAAAAGAAAAATACAGAAATGTAATTTATTTTATTTTAAGATTTATTTTATGCTTTTTGAATTGCCAGAGGGTACAGGAATTCTTCAGAGAGAGAGGTGGGTGAAGAGGAAATGCCTCAGGCATGTTTTTTTTTTTTAATTATTTTATTCAATTTCATTTATTCATTCATTCATTTATTTTAATTTGACCAGAGAATAACAACAGAGAGAGAGAGGAAAGTGAGAAATCAAGCCACCAGGTCCGGGACTCGAACCATGGTTGGCCATGTGGGAGTGTCTAGTGCCTTAACCACCATGCCACTTGCCGGTCTCCTCAGGCATGTTTTTTAAGCTGCTAGGGCTGGGATTTCAATCATGGTCACACATGTGGGGATCCATGAAGTTTATTTTATTATTTAATACAAGGAGTCTTCAGAAAATTAATGGAAAATGTGTTTTGTGGGGAAATTTTGTATGGATTTCAAACTATTTTTGCATCAAATTAAACTTGTACTTTTAAAAATAAAATACTAGTTTAATTTAATTTATTATTGTTGTTGTTATTTGCTGTAATTTGCTACAGGGCACATGCACTCATCAGAGAGAGAGGGAGGGTGGGAGAAAGCAATGCAGTGGTCTGGGACTTGAACCACGGTTGACCATGGGTGTTCAGTGCCTTCACCACCACACAGCCTGCTGGCCTCTGATAAATTTGTCCTGACTTTTTTTTTTTTTTTTTTTAAAGAATTATTTGGGATGAATATGGAAGATTTACTGCTGAGTGAATCAAGCCAGGTTTTGAAGGAGAGAGACACTGTATGTCTCCACTTAATATATATCGACTGTCCACACTCTGTGGCTGAAACTGAAAGACTAGAAGATATAAAAACATAGAAAATGGTTATAGATACCAGATACAGTGGGGGGGGGGGGAGAAGGAGAAGAGTCTAAGGAAAGACATTAAGGAGAAAAATAGAGAGGCAAGACATTTTGGGACACAGAAATGGGTTATTATCTGTTGATAATAATGTGTATAGTATCCCCAACTAGACTGGTGGGAAATATATTCATATTAGAACATTCACTTTCCAAGCTAAGCAATGCATATAATTCAATATATAAAAGAAAATATATTTTAAAAAAGAATTATTGGGGCCGACAGGTGGCATGGTGGTTAGGGGTGCTGGACTCCCACATGGCTGACCGTGATTTGAGTCCTGAACCTGGCGGCTTAACTTTCTTGCCCCCCTCTACCCCCCCCTCCCAGTCCCTCTCTGGTCAGATTAAAACAAACAAATAAATAAAGTTAAATAAAATGATTCTTTAAAAAGTTCTTAAAAAAAGGAATTATTTAATCCTATTTGTTGTTATTATTTTTTAAATTTAACCAGAGACAGAGAAAGGAAAATTGAGAAAGCAAGCTGCCAGGTTAGGGACTTCAACCACCATCAGTCACGTAGGAGTCCATGTCACCTGCCAGCCCTATGAACTTGTAGTTTAATTCTATTTTTCCTTGAGCTTTTGAAGACCCCTTATAAAACCTTATGATTCAAATCAAATGAAGGATAGGTTTGCATAGTCTTACATATGTAATAATGCATATTAAAATAGTTTTAATTTCTTTGGGTTATTTTTGTTTTGGAGAGATTTTCACTATAGGGCGCGTGCGCTTGGCAGACAGACAGAGAGAGACATAGAGGCAGAAAGCGAGAAATCACCCCCCGGGGGGGATGGCCATGCCGCAATCCCTTCTCCTCCATTCTCCTCTCGGGATCTTGGGCACGCATGTGCACGCGCTCGGCGTGAGTTTTAAGCCACTGGGTCCGGGACACGAACCGCGGTCAACTTCGTGGGAGTCCAGCGACATAGCCATTACGCCAACTGCTGGTTCCCAATTTCTTTGGGTGTTTTTGGGACAGTGTTTAAACATAGTAAAAATCTTAACATATTTCTTATTAAGCAGAACTTTCATAAGTCAGTTTTGATTTGTACTTTGTACCAAAGTTTTTCTCCTTAAATGAGTCATCACTCCCATTTTAGTTCTCTTTGTTGAATTAAGTGATTAGAATATTTTTATTAATACATATGTATTAATATCTTGTATGTATAGGTTATCACAGGTTTACTGTAGCATATCTGGCTATTACAAAGCTATTCTGCTTTATCAAATTTTTATGATTTAATTTGTTTATAATTAGTTTTGCTTATACAGTTGGAAGTAGTGAGGATGCTCATCTAATTTCTGATTTTATCTTTTAGGGAGCTCATAGACTTAAGAGGAAAGTGAATAGGAAATGATCAAGCATGTAGACGGAGAAACAGATTTGGACTTACATTCTTAGCCAACTTATGTGCCCTCTAAGTCTTAGGTCCCCTAGTCTTAAAGTGAAGATAAGGGATAGTACCTATCTTCCAGGGTTGTTTTGATGAATTTGTGAATTTGTATGTAAGTATTTGGTATAAGGAGGACCTAGAGAGTAGTTGGTACTCAGTATATGGTAATTGCGATAAAATTAGCTGTCCAGTTTTATTAGCATGTTTAGGTTTTTATGCTTGATTTTTGTGAATCAAAGTTCATACTATGTCTTCTAAAATTTGTGGGTGTGTGTGTATATATGTATATATATGTATGTGTTTATATCTTTTTACCTTTTTAGGGAGTTCCAATGAATTCACTCAGGTTTCTCTTTGAAGGTCAGAGAATTGCTGATAATCATACTCCAAAAGAAGTGAGTATAATTTCTTTCTGAATCAAGAAAAATTTGAAAATTCTCTTTTGAATGATTTGAATTACTGGTATTAAACTGCACTTTCCTTGAGTATTTTTGGATTGAAGTGGTATGTCATTTGTTGTGAGAAAAAAAATAATCTTTTGGGTTGAACATCTCCAATATTACCTTCAAAAATGCCAATAAGTGCCAGACAGTAATGTGATGAAGGTGTTTTGAGTCCCACATGGCTTAGAGCATAGTTCAAGTCCTGGACCCAATGGCTTTAAAAAACACTGGGTAATGAGAGGAGAATGGAGGAGAAGGAATTGCGGCATGGCCATCCCCCCGGTGGGGTGATTTCTCGCTTTCTGTCTGTCTCTGTCTGTCTGGCGAGCGCATGCGCCCTATAGCAAAAAAATGAAACAAAACAAAACAAAAAAACACTGGGTAAGTGTGCATGTTTACCCAAAATCCCAAAAAGAAAAATGGAGGAGAAGGCATTGTAGTGGGACCATTCACCACATGGAGTGCTTTTTCACTTTCTCTCGCTTTCTCTCTCCTTATGCCTCTGGCAAGACACATGCCCTATGATAAAGTTAAAAAACAAATGCCAATAAAAAGGGTGATAGAAGACCATCCTGTAAGCCTGGTTGTTAAGAGACCAGGATCCCACATGGCTAACTGTGTAGCTCAAGTCCTGGCCCATGTGGCTTGAAAAACATGCTGGTCTGGTGTGCAGGTATGCCCAAAATCCCAAAAAGGAGGGAGAGGCAGAGGAGAAAGGATTGTGGTGTGATCATTCCCCATGGATGGTGCTTTCTCTTCTTTCCCTCTCTTTTTCTTTGGAAAGCACACATGTCCTCTGGCAAAAATTAAAGAAAAGACGGGGAGTAGCAACTGGGAATTGAAGAGAACTTGTCATGGCACATACTACATCTTATTTGAAGATGCACAAATGTTCCTCAAATTGGGCTGATTCCTGGTGTGCTTTCTTTTCTTTCTTTTTTTTTTTTTTGAGAGATTTTTGCTACAGGGCATGTGCACTCTTCGGAGAAATAGAGTCAGAGACAGAAAGCGAGAAATCATCCCCTGTGGGGGATGGCCACACCACACCTTCCATTTTCCTCTTGGGGTTTTTAGCAAGCATGCAAACACTCCTGGTGTAAGTTTCAAGCCATTGGGTCTGGGACTTGAACCATGATTGGCCATGTGGGAATCCAGCACCTTAACTACCACACTGGCCCCTGTTGTGTTTTCTTAGTGATGATGGTAAGGTTAGTGGTTGAGTTTTGATTTTTTGATCCATATTGAGAATGTTAATACAGCTTAATGTATATTAATGTATTTGACTTTTATCTTGTTTTATATATGTTTAAATGCTTCTTTGTTTAATTGTTTTATTTATTTATTCATTCATTTTTACTTTGCCAGGGGGCATGTGCGCTCACCAGAGAGAGACGGAGGAGAGGGAGAAAGTACCCCAAAGGGGCTATAATCTCATCTCCTAGATTTCTCTCCTTTTTTTTTTTTTTTTTGAGAGGTTTTTGCTATAGGGCGCGTGCGCTCGCCAGACAGAGAGACAGAAAGTGAGAAATCACCCCCCCACGGGGGATGGCCATGCCACAATCCCTTCTCCTCCGTTCTCCTCTCGGGATCTTGGGCACACCCGCACATGGGCCTGGCGTGAGTTTTAAGCCACCTGGTTCGGGACTCAAACTGCCGTCGACTACATGGGAGTCCAGCGACATAGCCATTACGCTAACTGCTGGTCCCAATTTCTCTATCCTTTTGGGATCTGGAGCATACATGTATACCTGAACTGCATGGTTGCCATGTGGGATCTGGCTCTCTTAACAACCAGGCCGTGGGACTGGCCCTAGTTGTTTTATTTTATGGACTGTTTTCTTTGCCTCTGTCCCATAGAAGCATGTGACATTAAAGAGTGTATGTATGTATGTATTTATATACGTATTTATATACATAGATTCCTCTTTTCATATACAGAATAGCATTTCTGGTATTTCTAATAATGGCAATGATGTATTGATTTTTTTATTTTAACAACATTTCAAACTCATTAAACACTGTATTCCATTACTGTAGATTCACTGGTTATTTATTCGTTGTTTATTTTATTTTATTTATTTATATTTTGAGAGGTTTTTGCTACGGGGGTGTGTGTGCTCACCAGAAAGACAAAGAGAGGCAGACAGAGAGCAAGAAATCATCCCCCAGGGGGATGGCCATGCAGCAATCCCTTCTCTTTCATTCTCCTCTCAGGATCTTGGGTATGTACGCACATGTGCCTGGTGTGAGTTTAAGCCACCGGGTCTGGGACTCGAACTGTGGTCGACTACATGGGAGTCCAGCAGTGTAGCCATTACACCAACTACTGATCCATTTTTTTTCTTTTTAAAGGTTTTTGCTGTAGGGTGCATGTGCACACTGGAGGAAGACAGAAAGAGACAGAGGGAAAGTGAGAAATCACCCTTCAAGGGGGATAGCCACACTGAGGTCTCTTCTTCACTCTTTTTTTGTTTTCAATAAAGAATTATTTACTTAATTTGATTTATTCATTCATTTATTTTGAAAATTTGGCCAGAGAGAGACACAGAGAAAGAGAGAAAGGGAAAGTGAGAAAGCAAGCCACTAGGTCCGGGACTCGAACTGTGGTCGGCCATGTGGGAGTGTCCAGCACCTTAAACCATCACGCCACCTGCTGATCCCTCTTCTTCACTCTTCTCAAGATTTTAGGCACACACGTACATGTACTTAGCATGATTTTCAATCTGCCAGGTTCAGAACTCTAGCTGAGGTTGGCCATGTCGGAGTCCAGTGCCTTAATTTCCATACCACCTGCTAGTCCCTATTTATTAGTGCTTTTTTTTTAAGTACACTTTTTTTTTTTTTGAAAGGTTTAGGGCACGTGCGCTCGCCAGAAAGACAGAGAGAGACAGAAAGACAGAAAGTGAGAAATCACCTCCCATGGGGATGGCCATGCCACAATCCCTCCTCCTCCATTCTCCTCTCGGTATCTTGGGCATGCACGTACATGCGCCTGGCGTAAGTTTAAGCCACTGGGTCTGGGACTCGAACCGCGGTTGCTACATGGGAGTTCAGCAACATAGCCATTACACTAACTGCTGGTCCCAGTACACTCTTTTATTTTATTTATTTACTTATTTATTTATCTTAGTTTGCTATAGGGCATATCTGCTCACCAGAGGCAAGAAAGATTGGGGGGGAGAGAGAGAAAGAGAAAGAAATCATCCCCTGGAGGGATGGCCACGCTGCAGTCTCCTCTCTATTCTCCTTCAGGATACAAATATACCCCATGTGTTTCAAGCTGCCAGGTCTAGGGCTTGAGCCGCACAGCCATCATGTGTGATCTAGCTGCCTTAACCTTCATGTTACTTGCTGGTCCCTGGTTTTTTTTTTTTTTTAATTTTTATTTGTATTTTGCTATAGGTAGCTTGTATTATCACCAGAGAGAGACGTTGGGAAGGAAAGTGAAAAAGCATCCCATAGGGGTAATGGCTATGCCACAGTTCCTTCTGTCTTCCTCTGGGGATTTTCATATGCACATATACCTGGTGTGTTTAGAGATTAAGTTGTAGATACTATGATCTTTTACTCCTAAATATTGGGTGGTTTGGAAAGTTATAATGCATTTTTGCATAGAGAAACAAGTCATGACTTTCCTGACAAGCTAATATTTCATCTTATCTCCTAAGAGTCACAGTTAAATTTTAAATTTATGAGATTAAACATTTATAGTATTGGGGCCAGCATGTGGTGTGGTAGTTAAGGTGCTGGACTCCCACATGGCTACCTTCTGTTTGAGTCCCAGACCTGGTGGCTAGCTTTCTCACTCTGCCCCCTCTCATCTCCTATCCCTCTGGTGAGCACATGGTGAGCCCTATAGCAAATTAAATAATAAATAAAATAAAATAAATAATTATTTGATACAAAAATGTTGATAGTATTATTACTGAGTATGTATTTTGTGTAGTCAGATATTTATTTGTCCAAATAAGATTTTTTTTTCTTTTTTTTTAGAGAGGTTTTTGCTATAGGGCACGTGTGCTTGCCAGAAAGACAGAGACAGAGAGATAGAAAGCGAGAAATCACCCCTCAGGGAGCATGGCCATGCCACAATCTCTTCTCCTTCATTTTCTTCTTGGGATCTTGGGCACGCACGCACATGTGCCTGGCATGAGTTTAAGCCACTGGGTCTGGGACTCAAACCGCAGTTGACTACATGGGAGTTCTACAATATACCCATTATGCTAACTGCTGGCCCCCACATAAGGTCTTCTTTTTAAAAATTTAAATTATTTTCTTTAACTCTGTTTATTTTATTTTTACTAGAGAGGGACAGAGTGAGAAAGAGAGAGGAAAATGAGAAAGCAAGCTGTTAGGTCTGGGACTCGAACCATGGTCAGCCATGTGGGAGTCCATTGCCCCTAACCATCATGCTTCCCTCCAGCCCCGGCCAAATAAGGTCTTTTATAGTCATATTTTTACCTGACTAATCCAGGATAGGCATTTAACTAGTCATCCATGCCTCTTTTGCCTTCATTTTTAAAAAGAATCATTTAATTAAATTTAGTATTATCTTTTAAAATTTTTAAATTTTTTATAGGGCATATGCTCTCACTAGAGAGAGAGAAAGTGAAAAAGAAAACTGCCAGGTCTAGGTCTCGAACCACTGTCAGTCATGTGGGAGTCAGCGCCTTAACCACCTTAACCACTACCTGTTAGCCTTGTCTTTAGCCTTTAATCTGGAGTAGATCCTCAGTATTTATTATGGTATAGGTCAGGGACCAGCAGGTGGCGTGGTAGTTAAGGCACTGGACTAGCCCATGGTTGACTGGTTGAGTCCCGAACCTGGTGGCTTGAAACTCACGATGGGCATGTGTATGTCAGTGTCCAAAATCCTGTGAAGAGAATGGAGGAGAAGGGATTGCAGCATAACCATCCCCCACAAGGGGTTATTTCTGACTTTCAATCTCTCTCTCTGTGTCTCCAGCAAGCGCACATGCCTTACATCAAAAATCTCTCTAAAATAGAAAAAGTAGTATAGGCCAGTGTTCTTTTTTTCCCTTTTTAATTATTTATTTAATTTAATTTATTCATTCATTGTTTATTAATTTGACCAGAGTGAGACACACACAGAAAGAGAGAAAGTGAGAAAACAAGCCACCAGGTCTGGGACTCGAACCATGGCTGGCCACGTGAGGGTAACCAGTGCCTTAGCCACCACACCGCCTGTTGGTCTCCAGTGATCTTTTCAGAAAGCTTTCTATTTGGGTTTTAGTGTTTCCTCTAGATTAAATTGTTTTTTTTTTTACCTTTGTGGTACTAGGAACAGAGTGAAGCTGTATACTCTGAATGTCTCATATCGGGAGGTACATGATGTCCGTCTGCTCCATTATAGTTAGTATTAATTTTGGGCACTTAGTTAAGTGGTAATGCTCAAATTTATTCACTATAAAGTTAGCGTTTACCCATATAATTAATAAGTACTCGGGGGCCAGCAGGTGGCGTGGTGGTTAAGGTGCTCCCACATCACTGACCACTGTTTGAATCTTGGACCTGGTAACTTGCTTTCTCACTTTCTCTCTGGTCAAATTAAAGTAAATGAATGAATAAATAAAATTAAATAAATAATTCTTAAAAAAAAGAGAACTAAGTTTAAAAAATTAATAAAAATAAGTAATCTATGGAGAGCTATTTTCAATGGTGTGGAGATCCTTTAGATGTTGGCCATTGGAGGCCTTTTTAAGTTGGCATCTGTTGCCTATTTGATATTTCTCCATATTTTTCTAAGTTTCTACTTCGAAATAACTTTCATCTCACTGAAAAGTTGAAAGAATAGTACATAAAATTCCCATGTATTGCCCTCCGTCTAGATTCACAAATTTTTGACATTTTGTAACCTTTTAAAAATTTTTATTTAACTTTATTTACTTATTATTTTTTTAAAAATTTGATCTGAGAGAGAGGGAAAGTGAGAAAGCAAGCTGCCAGCTCCAGGACTCAAACTGTGGTCTGCCCTGTGGGAGTCCAGCACTGTAAACCACCACACCACCTGCTGGCCCCTTGAAAACTTTAAAAAATGATTTTTAGTTTTATTCTTTTATTTATTTATTTATTTTACCATAGGGCATGTACGCTTGCAGTGGGTAGCAGAGGGGCGAGGATAAAGAGAGAGCTAGTCAGTAAAAAGGGAAGTGCCAAATCATTCCCCGGGGAATGGCCACACCACAGTCCCTTCTCCTCCATTCTTCTCTTGGGATTTTAGGCATGCACTCATGTATATGTGCTTGGCATGAGTTTCAAGCCACCACATCTGGGACTTGAACTGCATATGGCCATGTGGGAGTCCAGTGCCTTACCCACTGTGCCACCTGCTGGCCCCAAACCAATTATTTTCTAGAAAGCCCTTCACTTTGGGCTTCTCTTTTTCCTTGTGCCTTCATTAAGGGTATGTGTATTTTGGCTAGCATACTACATACAGGGACATGTCTTTGTCTTGGCTTAGTATTTGGAGCACACAGAGCCAGTCAGGTGCCATAGTAGTTAAGACAGCTAGATCCCACATGGCCAACTCTGTCGTTCAAGTCCAGGACCTGGCAGCTTGAAAAACACACCAGGTATATGTATACTCTCGCCCAAAATCCTGAGAGGAGAATGGAGGAGGAGGGATTGCGGTGTTGTCACTCTCCCTGGTGGGGGCTTGGTGCTGGTGGTGATCTCTCACTTCCCCTCTCTGTGTCTCTTCAGTGAGGAGCAATGTGCCCTAAAGCAAAACTTATATATATATATTACATTTAATGTTCTATAAAAGGTGTTTTAAGGACCCCTTTATTTCCTGCAAGAATTGAGAAGTGATGGGCAGAAAAATCTAACTTATAAAAGCAGAAGTATTGAATATTAGTAGATACATAGATAAGTTTTCTGCATCAAGAATGTCACTGTCAGGACCTGCAGATGGCATAATGGTTACATTGCTGATCCCATGTAGTTGACCACAGTTTGAGTCCTCAACCCAACGGCTTAAAACTTGTGCCAGTTATATGTGTGTGTGCCTAAGATCCCGAGAGGAGAACGGAGAAGCGATTGCTGTGTGGCCAACCCCCAGGGAGTGATTTCTTTCTCCCTCACCTCCCACGGGTACACATACTCTATAACAAAACAAAACAAAAAAGCCACTTTAATTTCATAGAGTGAATAAACTGGCAAGTGAAACTGATTCAGGAAAGTAAGATAAATGATTGGATGTTGTATCAGAAGGAATGTTCTATTAACCTTAGAGGACTGTAACTTGTGGATCACTTTTGTATTTTTTTATACTTTAACAAGATGGACACATAATTATAGCCAATTTAAAAATAGTGCTTTTATATTCTACTGTACTAACATTTTTCTTTCTTCTTATAGCTGGGAATGGAAGAGGAAGATGTGATTGAAGTTTATCAGGAACAAACGGGGGGTCATTCAACGGTTTAGATTTTCTTTTTATTATTTTTTCTTTTCCCTCAATTCTTTTTTATTTTTAAAAATAGTTCTTTTGTAATGTGGTGTTCAAAATGGAGTTGAAAACTGGCTCCCCATCTCTTTAAAACATCTGGTAATTTGAATCCTAGTGTTCATTATTTGTTAGTGACTTTCACACTGGCCTTGAAGTTTCAGCATGTGATTGCTTCGCTCCTGGACTATGACTTTCAGTAGGAGATGGAAGTTTTTCAGAGAACTGAACTGTGGAAAAATGACCTTTCCTTAACTTGAAGCTATTTTTAAAATCTGAGGGTCTGGACCAAAAGAAGAAGAATATTAGATCGGAATCAAGATGACAGATATGGTGAGAGTTCACTAACTCCAAAGATGGCTTCACTGAAGAGAACCATTTTAAGATTTAAATAACCTTGTCAGAAGATCCCAGAAAAGTTCTAATTTCCATTAGCAGTTAATAAAGTTATTCATGCAGAAGTGTATACAACAGAACACTGCTCTTTTTGATTTTATTTGTACTTTTTGGCCTGGGATATGGGTTTTAAATGGACATTGTCTGTACCAGCTTCATTAAAATAAACAATATTTGTAAAAATCGTACTAATTCTTATTTTATTTTAATTGTATAGGAAGAAAAAGCAAATGCTTTAAATAAGGGTTTCTTAGCACTGGACATTGCACATGGCACAGTTTTTTTTCTTTTAATGACTTTGAAGTGCTAGAAGTTACTGAAGTGCCATCTGAATCAAGAATTTAATTAAAGCCACAGTACCTTTTTAAATACTCTGTGTTGAGGCCAGCAGATGGAGTGGTGGCTAAGGTGCTGGACTCCCACGTGGCTGATTGCAGTTCCTGGACCTGGTAGCTTGAATATTATGCTGGGCATGTGTGTGTGTACATGCCCCAAATCCCAGGATGAAAAGGGAGGAGAAGGCATTGTGGCATGGCCATCCTCCCTGGGGAATCGTTTCTCACTTTCCTTATTGCTGTCTCCAGCTAGTGCATGTGTTGTATGGCAAAAACCTAAAAATAAATAATATTTTGCTTTTTAAAAAACTTGATATTCTTGTGTATACACACACGCACACACACACACACACACATACACACACACACACACAGAGCTACCCAGTCATGTTAAAAGTGCATGTCAAAATTTCTTAATTGATTTATATTGATAATTTCAGTTCCCTTTTAACAAGTTATAAAATGTTCTCAGCCTAGTTAATGTTTGGTGTATTTTATTTATATTTTCCTCTTATGTATCTTTTCTATATATTTTAAGTTTTTTTTTTTTTTTTTTTTTTGCTGTAGGGCATGTGCACTTGCCAGAGAGAGAGAGAAAGTGAGAAATTATCCTCTTGGGAGGATGGCCCTGCTGCAGTCCTCTCTCCTTCATTGTTCTCTTGAGATTTTGGTCATATATGCACACACATCTGGCATAATTTTCAAGCTTTTGGGTCCAGGACTGGAATTGCAGTCGGCCATGTGTGGGAGTCCAGTACTGCTATACACTATGCTACCTGCTGCCCCATATTTTTCTATATCCTAAATACTTAAATTTTGTATAAAATATCAAATTGTGCTTAACTTTTCCTTTTAACTCTTTAATAAACTACAGAATTCAGTGTATCTATGCACACACATAATCCAATCCCATGTTATCCCAAATAGTGTCATCTGACTACTTGAGCAAATAAAACCTGTCTGGAATGCATTTCATAAACTTAGAACTTATACACTCTACTCAAGTCACCTTTTGAAAAATAGATTGGCTTGCGGGAATGTGTCTTGGTATCTTAATTATCCTGAAGGCACTCAGAATTTAGGTGGTGAGAGTGACCAGCAGTTAGTGTAATGGCTATGTCGCTGGACTCCCACGTAGTCGACCGCGATTCACTTCCCGGACCTGGTGGCTTAAAACTCACGCCGGGTGCATGTGTGTGCGTGCCCAAGATCCCGAGAGGAGAAAGGAGAAGGGATTACGGCGTGGCCATCCCCCTTGGGGGGTAATTTCTCACTCTCTGTCTCTGTCTGTCTATCTGGCGAGTGCACGTGCCCTATAGCAAAAACCTCTAAAAAGAAAATTTAGGTGGTGAAGCTTATTAACTACTGGTGAAATAATTTTCTCGTTTTTAGTTTTATCGGATTCTTTGAAATGCAGTGCACTTTACTATGATTCATTTTAAAAATGTGCTTATCAGCACTAGCTGATAAAATAGGACTTCTCGGCAAAAATTTAATAGATCATCAGATTTGGAGGGAACTTCGACAGTTAGTGTAATCACTTTTTTTTTAATAATTTTATTTTTTTAAGAGAGATTTTTGTTATAGGATATGTGTGCTCCCTGGAGAGAGAGAGAGACAGTAAGAAATCATCTCCCAAGGGGATGGCCATGCCACAGTCCCTTCTCTTCCACTCTTTTCTTGGGGTTTTGGTCATGCCCACACACGTGCCCAGTGTGAGTTTCAAGCCACTGGATCCAGTACTTCGACTGCAGTCTGCCATATGGGAGTTCAGTGATGTAACCATTACACCATCTGCTGGTCCTTACTGTAGCTACTTTATCTGGTATTTGATTGCAACATCCTAAATTTGTAAAACAGAAAAAAGTCATTCATGGTAATTTTTCCCTATAAGAATATTTTCCTTGAGTGTTCATTCTTCTGTTAGTTGAATTGAGATTATTGAGATGCTCTTACCTGATCCAGTACTATCGAATGAACTGATTGATGAATGTACAAGTGGGTCAACAAGATTGAGAAGTTTCAGTGACTAATGTCCAGTGTTTTAGCCATTTTATTTCTGTCTGCATTTACATTAAGGAGTTAAAAAGAGCATCAAATCCCAGTAAGTCCAGTAGCACTGCAATACAGAGTCCAAATTAAGCTCAATTTCTGGCTTGTAGAAGCGCATTTCCTATAGAAACCAAATAAGGTCATGAGCATTAGTGAGAAATTAGAACAATTATCTAAATATTACACATTTCATCTGTGAACAGAAGTATATTAAGGTCAAAGGAAACTTGAGAAGATCTAGGTTCAAATACTGCTTGATTTAACATCCTTTCATGTGTTTGCTAAAGCATTTTCATCCCCTTTAATTACTATTCTACGATAGATACTTTAAAAAAATAGATGTTTGAGTGCTCACTTCGGCAGCGCATATACTAAAATTGGAACGATACAGAGAAGATTAGCATGGCCCCTGCGCAAGGATGACACACGAATTTGTGAAGCGTTTCATATTTTTAAAGAAAAAAAAAATCGATGATTATTAGAAGATGTTAAAAGAAATGGTGGGACCAACAGATGGCGTAATAGTTACATTGGTCAAGTCCTGGATCCAGTAGCTTAAGACTCACACTGGGCATGTGTGTGTGCCCCAAATCCTGAGAATGGAGAAGGGACTGCAGCATGGCCATCCATGCCCCCTCGGGGGGAAGGGGATTGTTTCTTGCTTTCTGTCTTTCCCAGGAGCACACATGCACTATAGCAAAAATCTCTTAAAAAAAAAAAAAAGAGTTCTATCCCAATCTCAGTTAGTTGCATTTCATCGTGTTCACCTTAATCCACACCTAAGATTTTCTCCACTGTGGAACCACCATTCTCACCACTCCTCCATGTAACATTTGTTTAACCCAATAAAACTCTTGAGTCACCTAAATCTCTTATGTTCCCTACAACCACACAAATACAGAACTTTTGGTAAGCCTAAAATTGCCCATAATTTCAGTTTGAAACATTAACATGGCCTTAAAAGAATTATAAGTAGTCATTTCAGTGTGGCTGAGAGGGCTGCAGGTTAATGAAAATTTTGTAGGCAAATAATTCTAAATTAGCTAAGAGGAGCTGATTTATATATTCATATATTAACAGTTTTATTATAAGCCTCTTTATAAGGCTAAACCACAATCATTTTAACTTAAAATGTAATGTTTATTTAGAACAATGTGTGTTTGAGGCCAGCAGGTGGCAGGGGGGTTAAAGTGCTGGTTTCTGTATGACCTACTATGCATTTTGGGTACTGGATCAGGTGGCTTGACAGTCATGTGGGGCATGTGTGCCCAAAATCCTGAGAGACTGGAGAAGAGATTGCAGCATGGCCATCTCCCCTGGGGAGGCTCTGGCAGAGCATGTGCCTTGTAGCAAAAACTTCCCAAAAAAATGTTTAAAAAGGTATGTTTATAAGCACCTGATAAATGTAAAGTGGGGCCAGCTGGTGGCCTAGTGGTTAAGGTGCTGGACCACCACATGGGTGACTGCTGTTCAAATCCTGGGATAGAACTTTATTATAAAAGGAAATTTCTTCTCCTTTTTTTTTTTTTTTTTCCTGTTCCCACTTCCCAACTTACTTTTTAGTTTTCTTCTAGCTTTAAGGCCTGGGTATCTGTAGGAACTGGAAATAAGAGTAAACCCATGGTCTGGAAATGTTGTGTGTCCATTGCAGGCCCCTGGCTTCCTTATGAAATTCTTGCTGGAAATGAAGATGTTTCTCCAAAGCAGCTTTTTGCCTAAGGAGACAACCCCACCCCCAATTCCAGTAATGATTAAGTGCCCTACAAATTGTCCTTGTAAGCTAGTAGAAAAATTTTGGACTTGAATCATTATCAGTTAGACTTGAGGCTGTCTGGCTTGGATTTTAGGGGAAGATCAGGTTTTCATGGGCTGTTTTGTTAGTTTACATATGAAAGTGTCTTCAAAAAGTCATGGAAAACATGAAAAATGCATGGATTTCAATTTTTCTTTCATGAAATACTTTTATTTTGTCACTAACCTTTTAAAGTCCTCTCAGTAGGTTTAGATGATTGTGAACTTCCTATTGGAAAAGTTAAATTGCTTAGAGGGACTTTCATTTTCCAATGGAGGAAATGGGCCAGAGAAGTTAACGTCAAAATTAAAGATGAAAAAAAAAAAATTAAAGATGAAGTAAAACCATAGACCAGCAGATGGCGTGGAGACTCTGGATCCCACAAGACTGACTATTCGGTTGTGGACCTGGCAGCCTAAAAACATGCCAGGTATGTGTGTGTGCATGCTCCAGATCTTGGGGCCGGCAGGCGACGTGGTGTTGCACTCTCCACATGACTGACTGTGGTTTGAGTCCCAGACCTGGCGGCTTTCTCTCTCTGTCCCTCTGTGGTAAAATTGAAACAAATTATAAAGTTCAAAAAATAATTCTTTAAAAAATAAATCTCAAGAGGAGAATGGAGGAGAAGGGATTGTGGCATGGTCATCCTTCCTGGAGGGGTGATTTCTCACTTTCTCTTTCTGGTGACTGCACCTGTCCTAAAGCAAGAAAAAAAAAAAAAGCCAGCTGGCATCTAATTCTAACCCATACTGGAGTGAGGCTCTAGCCCTCACTCCCTCCGCCCCTTTTTTTTCTTTTTAAATTTACCACAGGGTGTGTATACTCACAGGAGAAAGAGACAAAAAGAAATCACCCCCGATGGGGGATGTTTATGCCACAATTCCTTCTTCATGTCTCCTCCTTGCAATTTTTAGGCATGTATAGCACACATATCCAGTGTTTCTCAAGCTGCCAAGTCCAGAATTTGAATTGTTCAGTTGGTCATGTGGGATCCAGAGGCCTTAATCACCACACCCTCCCCTTTAGTGCTTGGTTTCTTTTTCTTTCTTTCTTTTTTTTTTTTTAGAGAGGTTTTTGCCATAGGGCGTGTGTGCTTGCCAGAGAGACAGAAAGCGAGAAATCATGCCACAGTCCCCTCTCCATTCTCCTCTCGGAATCTTGGGCATGCATGCACACGTGCCCCGCATGAGTTTAAGCTGCTGGGTCCGGGACTTGAACCGTGGTTGACCACATGGGAGTCCAGCAACATAGCCATTATACTAACTGCTGGTTCCCTTGGTTTCTTCTTTTAGCTAGAGATAGGTCACAGCAAGACATCACCCCCAAGCGGGGTTGGTTACACCACAATCCCTTCTCCATTCTCCTCTCAGGATTTCAGGCACACATGCATACATGCCCGGTATGAGTTTTAAGCCACTGGGTCCATGGTTGACTATGTGGGAATTCACTGACGTAACTATTACGCTATCTGCTGGTCCCAAGACTTGCCTTTCAAAATTGCTCACCTGCCCTCTGCTTGACTCTCAGTTTTCTTTTCATGGAAAGTTGGAACTTCAATAGCTTACTTTTGGCCTCACAGTTTTGGAACTGAACCCCGCTTTTTGATGAAATAACTTTGAAAGCAAATCAGGACTGTCCTAGTGATTGATTTCATAATTCACGTAATAGCTGAGGAAAGTCCAGGGGAAGAACATCTCAAGATTATTGGAAAGCCTTCAAATAAGTTGTTCTGGCTTTCTTTTCCTGATTTTTTTTTTTTTTTTTTTTTTGTGCTATAGGACACATGCACTTGCCCGAGAGTCAGACAGGTAGGGAGAAATCAGCTCCCAGGGTGAAGGCCATGCCTCTCCTCCATTATCCTCTTGGACTTTTGGGCACATATGCATGTGTGCCCAGCATGAGTTTCATGCCTCTGAATCTAGTTCTTGAACCATTGTCGGCCTTGTGGGAGTCCAGCGACATAACTGCTACACCATCTGCTGATCCCTCTTATCTTCTAAAGAGTATTAGATTCAGCGTAAGTTGGGGAAAATATATTTCTAGGAGAAAAGTGTTAGAAGTTAAGGCTGGGGTTGCCAGCAGGTGGTGTAGTGGTTTAAGCACTGGACTCCCATGTGGCTGACTGCAGTTCGAGTCCAGGACCTGGTGGCTTGAAAATCATGCTGGGCATGTGATTGTGTGTGGCCAAACCCTAAGAGAATAGAGAAGGGATCGCAGTGTGGCTATCCTCCTTTGGGGGGTGATTTTTCACTTTCCCTTTTTCTGTCTCTCTCCAGTGCATGCATGTGCCCTATGTCAAAAACAAAACAAAACAAAACAAAACAAACAAAAAAGTTAAGGCTGGAATCACATGGTTTTCTTTACCCTTCCATTTTGATGGTTCTAAAGAAGATGACTGTTAGTTGCTTTCACTAAGAAGGGGAAATTTATGATGTAGCAACTATAGAGGACCTAGTTTTTAGAAAGTTGAAATCACGTTACTCAAGAAATTCTATATCAGAAAGATGCAGTAATCATTACTATTGCAGAATAAAGGGAGAAAAAGCCTTTGGCTCTGATCATTTTGATTCTCTGTTGTTTCTTCTAACAAGGTCTTTAGTAGATCTAGTCTTGGTCTACTTACTACTTTCATCTGGTTGTAATTAACCCTTGTTCCTTTAATTATAGGCATGCTGACTCTTTTATTGTTTCAACATGCTGGTCTCTTTTTTTTTTTTTTTTTTTCAAAATTTTAAAAAGTTTTGGGACCAGCAGTTAGCATAATGGCTATGTTGCTGGACTCCCATGTAGTCGACTGTGGTTCGAGTCCCAGACCCTTAAACTCACACCAGGCGTGTGTGCATGCATGCCCAAGATCCCAAGAGGAGAATGGAGGAGAAAGGATTGCAGCGTGACCATCCCCTTTGGGGGGTGATTTCTCGCCTTCTGTCTCTCTCTGTCTTTCTGGCGATTCTGGTTAGTACACGTGCCCTATAGCAAAAACCTCTCCAAAAAAAATTTTTTTTAAAGTTTTTGCTAGAGGCTGTGTGTGCTCGCCAAAGAGAGTCAGAGAAGAAAAGTGAGAAATCACCACCCCATTCCCCGCCTGGGGATGGCCAGGCCTCAATCCCTTCTCCATTCTCCTCTCAGGATTTTGGGCATACACGCACATGCTCCTGGTGTGAGTTTTAAGCCGCCAGGTTCAGGACTTGAACCACAGTTAGCTGTATGCAAGTCCAGCACCTTGACCACTACTACACTTGCTGGCCCTGTGCCTGGCTTGATTTTCAAGCCACCAGGTCCCAGACTTGAACTGTGCAGTTGGACAGGTAGGATCCAGCTGCCTTAACCTCCATGCTACCTGCTGATCTTCCTTTTCTTACACTTGCTATTTACTTGCTGGAATACTTTTCTCCCAGAGGTTTATGTGGGTGATTCCTTGTCATTCAGGTTTCACCCATATGATACCTCAGTCTTAAGCCTCGTGCAATCTTACCACATCTTTTACAGTTTTCTACATAGCATTTATGGTGAGCTAAAAAGCAAAGAAGCAACTTTTACTTTGTTTATCGTCTTCTCACACCCACCCCTAGAATGTAAATGTCACAGGAGAAGACACCTTGTTTGTCTTGCTTACTCCTCTGTTCTCAGTGTTTGGCACATAAAAGCAGTAAATAGATCAAGGAAGGCAAAGGTTTGGAATCAGGGTGTTAGATCTAGTCCTGGCACTGCCCTAATTCACTGTTTGGCTCTGATTAGGATCCTGTACTTACTTTGGGACTCACTTTTTCTTATCTGTAAATCAGAGAATTAAGAGATGATCTCTAAACACTCCTCCAGCTTCACTGCAAGTTCTATCCATGTAAGTCATGAAGGGATCCGGTGATGTTTGGCGCCTAAGAAGGAATCTCTTTGTTTTTAGTCTTCCAAACCATGCTTCTCCATCCACCTCAGTCACAGAGGGACCCATAGAGCAGGCTCTGCATTCCATGGGGTGGGGAAACTGCTTATCCAAAGGTTAGCACTAGCCCCAGACAGCCCTTCAAGATCCCTCATGGAGACATGCCCAAATATCATTACCTGGCTTGTTCCTGGGCTAGTTTCGTGGCTTCCTCCAGCGCCAGCCTTGCTGCCTCCTCTTCCTCCTGCCTCCGCTCCTCTGCCTCCAGCAGAGCCTTCTCTTCTGCTTCCTGTTTCTGCCGCTGCTCCCCCAGCCGTTCCTCCTCAGCCATCGCCATCAGGCGTTTTTGTTCTTCTGCTAGCTGCATTTCCAATTCCTTCTGCCTCTGCTTCTCTGCCTCTACAGAAAAGGGGGAGGCTTAGCAGAGGTCGTTATTGGGCAAAACTATTTTCTGATCCAGACTCAAAGTCCGATTCCAGGACTCCCTGTGAGAAATTCTGTTGTTTACCTGCCGGCCAGCGGCCAGACCCTCTCTGAAGTTAATTTACTAATTTCGGAGTCCTTTATCAAGCACCTACTATGTTCAGAGCACTGTGCAGTGAAAACAAAACCTTGGGGAAGAATATTCCAGAGCTTGGTTTGTGAATGGGTGGCATGCAGCTGGGTGGGGAGGGGTCTAGAAAAGCTTAGTACATATGCAGATGAAATGACAAGTCTAACCAGGGGGTGGCCATGGTGTCATCTGCTGGGAGTTCCTGCCTCTTCCTCCAAAGTGAGGCTGGACAGAAAGTTGGCCCTAAGGCTACCCAAGTGTTACGTCTGTTTCTATCTGCTAGGGAAGGGAGCAAGGAGCAGGGCTGCTGGCCCCTTCGGAGCAGGACTCCAAAGTGAGGCTGGACAGAAAGTTGGCCCTGAGGCTATCCAGGTGTTATGGCTGTTTCCATCTGCTAGGGAAGGGAGCAAGAAGCAGGGCTGTGAGCATGAACTTAGAGTCAAGGCCAGGGAAAGGGCCCAGCCACAGAGTGCAGGACAGGGCAGGGGCTCCGCAAAAATGCTTAAGGGCCAGGGGAGGGCAGGGCCCAGTTCAGATGGCTGAACAGGGGAGTCAGGCCCTGTCTGCTCGCTTCCAGAGCGAGTCCTTTTCTGATCTCCATCAGCTCACTGTAGCCACATCATAATCACTTTGCAAAAAATAGCTTATACATTCCTTGGTAGCTCCTGCAGCTTCCTCCGGAACGCCTCTTGCTGCTGCCGGGCTCTCTCCTGGGCCGCTTGCCGCTGGAGCTGCTGCCTTCTCTCCTCCTCCTCCTGCCGCTGCAGCTCTTCCTCCCGTCTCTGTTTCCTTAGGCTGGGGAAACAGGGTGGTCAGGGAAGTGGCAGCAGGCGCTGGGGCACTCGGTGAGACAAACTGAGGGAAGTCAGCATTGAGGAGCAAGGCGAGATCACAAGGGGCCCAGAAGGAGAAGCCTAGGCGTCTCAGGACACAATTCCGTGTCTTCAGTTTTCAGAGCTTCATTCTCCAGTCTTGTCGAACGGAGTCTGAAACTCCTCCCTCGCGAAGTTGCTGTGAGCGTGAACTTAAAGAGTCAAGGCCAGGGAAAGGGCCCAGCCACAGAGCGGAGGACGAGGACGGGGCAGGGGCTCGGCAAAAAGTTTGTGGGGCGAAGTCTCAAAGCCTGCCCAAGGAGAGCCTGCAAAATCTGTCCTGAGTAACCCTTAAAGTCCAGACCTGCCTCCTACTGTGGTCCAGGTTGTTCCCAGGATGACTGAGGAGGGAGAGAAAGGAGACATGTTGTTTTACTTGGATCAGGCGCCTCAGAGCCAAACTTGGCCCCAGGGGAGGTCAACCCCTGCCGTTATTTATTTATTTATTAGAGGTTTTTGCTACAGGGCACATGCGCTTGCCAGAAAGAGACAGACAGACAGAAAGCGAGAAATCACCCCCCAGGGGGGATGGCTACCAGGAGGGATGGCCAAGTCTCCTCCATTCTCCTCTCAGGATCTTGGGCATGCACACGTATGTGCCCGGCGTGAGTGTAAGCCACTGGATCTGTGAATCAAACCCCGGTCAACTGCATGGGAGTCCAGCGATATAGCCATTACGCCAACTGCTCGTCCCTATTTTTGCCAGAGACAGAGGGAAAGTGGAAAGCACCGCCTGTAACCTCTTCTCCATTTCTCCCCTTGGGATCCTGGGCATGTTTGCACATGTGCCCAGCATGATTTTCAAGCCTCAGGTCTGGGACTTGAACTGTAAATTTGGCCATGTGGGATCCAGCTGCCTTATAACTGCCACACTACCCGACCTTTGCCTTTTTCTTTGGTCTTCCAGCATGGCTGTCTCTATCTGGTTGGGACTTACCGGATCTCCTCTGCACGTCTCTGCTGCTCCAGCTCCAACTCCTCCTTCATCTTCTCTGCCCTCTCCAGTTGTTCCTGCTGCAGCCGCCTCTGCTCTTCCTGCTCCCTTCTCTTCCTCTCCACCTCCAGCCGCCGCAGCTCGGCCCTCTCTGCTCTCAGCCTGTCCCGGGAAGCCTTCTCCTGCTCCTTCTTATCCAGGAGGGCCTAAAGGAGCAGAGCACGCTGGGTACAAGAATAGCCGGCCCCTCCACCCAGACACCACCTGTAACCAGAGGAGGGCTCAGAAAGCAGGCTCCACGCTCTGACCACACCTGCACAAACGCCACCACAGGCTTGGGCCGTGGATTCAAGACTGTCTTTTACTTGCTTTGGGACTTGGGGATCACAACTTAGTTTTCCTGATGCTGCCTTCCTCATAGGGCTATTACCAGGGTTAACGAAGACAATGAAAGTACCAACATAATGGCCAGTGCATCGGAGGTTCTAGAGTTAGCAATCCGAGCTGTGCTGTATTACTGCATTAGTTTTCAATTTGCCAGAGGAAGTGAGAAGGCATTCCCAATGGGGAGTGGCTATGCTGCAATCTCTTCTCTTCCATTTCTACGCCTGTCAGGATTTGGGGCATGCGTGCACACATGCCTGGTGATTCTCAAGCTGCCAGGTCTGAATCACATGTAGTTGGCCATGTGGGATTCAGATGCCTTAACCACCAGGCCATTGACTGGCCCCACTTTATTTTTCTTTTAATAATAATTAATTAATTAATTAATTAATTTTGATTTGACTAGAGAGAGACACAGAGAGTGTGTGTGGGATTTGGGGCATGCGTGCACACATGCCTGGTGATTCTCAAGCTGCCAGGTCTGAATCACATGTAGTTGGCCATGTGGGATTCAGATGCCTTAACCACCAGGCCATTGACTGGCCCCACTTTATTTTTCTTTTAATAATAATTAATTAATTAATTAATTAATTTTGATTTGACTAGAGAGAGACACAGAGAGAGTGTGTGTGTGGGGGGGTGAAAAAGTAAGCCATCAGGTCTGGTTCTCGAACCGTGGCTGGCCATGTGGGAGTGTCTAGCACCTTAATCACCATACCGCCTACTAGTCTCCCCACTTTACATTTTTAATAGAAGTGTTTTTGGAAAGTTTTGTTGTTGTTGAGGATAGAGCATGTGTGTGCATGAGAGAGAAAAAGAAGCACCCTCCATTTGTCAAGGGGTTTGGTAAATGTTCACAAGGTTGAATCGCATAGCATCTCTTCCCAAGAAGAGCCCACAAACATCGATCCTGAGTAAACCTATGTCCAGACACTGCACCCTGCAGTGGTCCAGGTTGTTGCTAGGAGAACTGAGGAGAGAGAAAAAGGAGACACGTTGTTTTATGTAGGCCAGGCGTCGCAGAACCAAACTTGGGCCACAGGGCCTGGTGATGCCACAACCCCTTCCTCCAGTCCTCCAGCTTACCAGGACCCTGAGCAACATGTACACTCAGTGTGTCTCAGGCTGAACATGCTTGGAACTTGAACTGAGTCACCATGTGGCTGTCAGCTCTGCAGTGCAGTAAGTTACCACCTGTGCCATGAGACTGGACCCCAGCCTGAGCTTTAGAACCACCCGAGCAGTTTTTTTTTTAAGAGGTTTTTGCTATAGGGAGCATGTGCTCTCCAGACAGACAGAGAGAAACAAAGAGAAAGAAAGCGAGAAATCCCCTCCCGGGGGGGATGGCCACGCCGCAATCCCTTCTCCTCCATTCTCCTCTCAGGATCTTGGGCACGCATGCACATGCGCCCGGTGTGAGTTTTAAGCCACCGGGTCCGGGATGCGAACCGTGGTCGACTGCATGGGAGTCCAGTGACATAGCCATTAAGCTAACTGCTGGTCCCCCAAGCAGTTTTTGTTGTTCGTTTGGCGATAGGGTATGTGCTCTTGTTGAGAGAGAGAGAGAGAGAGAGAGAGAGAGAGAGAGAGAGAGAAGAAGAAGAAGAAGAAGAAGAAGAAGAAGAAGAAGAAGGCATGTGCTCTTGCTGCTGAGAGAGAGAATGAGAGAGAGAGAAGGAAAATGAGGAGTCATCTCCCCTAGGAGATGGCCATGCTGCAATCCCTTCTCCTTCATTCTCCTCATGGGATTTTGGACACACATGTGCATGTGCGCGGTGTATTTTCCAAACTGCAGTCAGCCTTGTGTCTTTGATAAGATCACTTCTTACTAAGGTCAGAAGGTACCAAAGTGGAAAAAACAAGACCAAAAAATACTACCATTATGTGGTGGAGCTGCTTCAGTAGCTGCAGCATACTAAGGGGCAGCGTTCCCCACCTCTACCGTCACAGCAGGGAGGACAGACCTCCCTCTAAAGGGGTGAGGACGTCAAGCCTACCTTGGAAGGGTCATCATGGCTTCTCTCTTCAGATTCCCTGTTGCCAGTGACAGCCATGCTCTGGGTGGGTGGTGATCTTCCATCTATGGAAACTTGGCTCTCCTCAACATCGTATCTGGGAGAAAGCCAAGGGTCCTCTACCACAGAGTCTGAAGGGAAGATCCCTCTGTCTGAGGCATCTCCTGTTTCCTGAGAGTTCATGGCACCAGGCCCACTTAGCCCTGCTGCTCCCTCCAAATTCCTTTCCTTCTGTGCACTTTTCTTTTTGGCTCTTGTTTTTCTTCCTTTGGGAATTAGTTCTAATTTCTTTTCAGACTTTGAGTCCTTTGTCTTCCCTAGGGGAGAATAATTAGGGACAGAGGTATAGCTGAGTTAAGTAATTGTTATTTCTTTCTTTCTTTTCTTTCTTTCTTTCTTTCTTTTTTTTTTTTTTTGAGAGTTTTTTGCTGTAGGGTACATGCGCTCGCCAGAGGGACAAAGAGAGAGAGACAGACAGAAAGCAAGAAATCACCCTCCAGGGGGATGGCCACACCACAATCCCTTCTCCTCTATTCTTCTCTTGGGATTTTTGGGCACGCACGCATACACGCCTGGAATGAGTTTTAAGCTGCCGGGCCTGGGACTGGGACCACAGTTGACCGTGGGAGTTCAGCAAGGTAACTGTTACGTGGTCCACGGTCCCAGTAAATGTAATTTCTATACATCCTTTTCAGTAACTATTTCTTTCTTTTCCACGATAGTGTGTGCCTATGAACACAAAAGAAGAGAAAGAAAGAAAGCAGAGAGCGAAAGCACACGTGTGTGGTCTCTCCATGCAGCAGGCTCTGCTCCTCCGCTCTCTAGCTCTCCCCCACCATGTCCCCAGGCTGACCCAGAAACCTGGAAGGCAGCCAGCCATGTGGCCTCCAGCACACCATGAACTGTGCCACCCAGGCTAGGCCCTTTTCAGTAACTATTAAACTTAAGCATGCAACGGAATCACCTGGGGTGCAGGTTCCTGAGCCTCACCCTGGAATCTGCCTCAGGAGTAATCCGATTGTAATAAACACCCCAAGTGTCTTGAAAAGAGCAGTCAACAGAACACCCTTTACCAAGCTGCCTTATCCCGTTTGTATCACCTGTCATTCAACAGTTCTGCTATTTCCCTCTGACCTGTGATGGGGGTAAGACTCTCCAGAGGAGAGACCTGTAAGCACAACTGGAAAGTCACGCTGGCTTGAGGCTTAAAAATGGGCAAAATTGGGGCAGGCAGGTGGTGTGGTGGTTAAAGATGCTGGACTCCCACGTGGTTGACCATAGTTGGAGTCCCGGACTTGGTGACTTCCTTTCTCGCTTTCCCTTTCTCTCTCTCTCTGTACCTCTCTGGCCAAGTGAAAATAAATAAAAAAAAAAATAAAGTTAAATAATAAAAATAATTCTTAAAAAAAAAATAGGCAAAATTTGGGGCCGGCAGTTGGCATGACGGTTAATGGCACTGGATTCCCACATGATCAACCATGGTTCAAGTCCCAGACCTGGAGGCTTGCTTTCTCTCTCTCTCTCTCTCTGTGTGTCTCTGTTTGGTCTAATAATAATAATAATAATAATAACAAGTGCAATTAATTAAATAAGTAATTCTTTAAAAAGAAATTGGCAAAATTTAAGCCTTCACCACTCTAAGAACTCTTCCTTAAGTCACCACTTGAGGCCATAAATACTTCTTTTTCTTCAGCCTTGTGTGATTTTTAAATTTTAAAAAAATTTTCTTTTTTTGGAGAGGTTCTTTCTTATTGGGCTTGTGCGCTTGCCAGAAAGACAGAGAGAGACAGAGAGATAGAAAGAGAGAAATCACCCCCCAGAGGGGATGGTCACACCACAATCCCTTCTCCTCCATTCTCCTCTCTGGATCTTGGGCATGCACACACACACACTTGTCTGGCGTGAGTTTAAGCCACTGGGTCCGGGACTCGAACCACAGTCGACTGCATGGGAGTCCAGTAACATAGCCATTATGCTAACTGCTGGTCCCCCAGTCTCGTGTGATTAAGGAATGCTACCCAAGTCATAGGCTACAAAAACATAAGCTCAGCAAGAGTTTAACATGCAAATGTCAAAAATAGATCTGGCCCAGAAGCAGATCCAATGTTGTGTTTTCTAACAGTTTTTATTTTTTTTTAAGAGAGATTTTTGCTATAAGGCATTTGTGCTCACCAGAGGGCCAGAGAGAGACAGAAAGAGAGAAAGTGGGAAATACCCCCTAGGGGGGATGGCCACACTGCAATCCCTTTTCCTCCACTCTCCTCTTGGGACTTTGGGCATGCATGCACATGCCCTGGTGTGAGTTTCAAGTTGCTAGGTTCAGGACTCTTACTATGGTCGGTCATGTGGGAGTCCAGTGGCGTGACCATTACTCCATCTGTTGGTCCCTGATAGCTTTTGATTCATTTGGAGGGTCTTCTGAATCATGTAGGCAGTGAAGGATGGGTGTAAGTTGTGTGCTAAAGAAAGTCTTCCGAAGCATAGCGATATGAATGCCTCCCTTGTAAGGTGCAACAGAGGGAACCAGAACAGAAAGTGTAGTGGGGAGGGCCATTCAGAACCAGCTGCATCCTTCTTCCTCCTGCTCTCACTACCAATACTTGGCAAATCAATCAAATAGGAGGGGACAACCCTGTGGCCACTACTTCACTCTCTTCTTAATAGTGTACATGCGTGCACGAGAGAGAGGAAAAGAGAGAAGCAAATCACTCTTGATGGCGTCTTGTCTCACTGTGATCCCTTCAGCCCTCCTGCTCCTTGGGCTTCTGTAGCCACACTCCTTGACCATGCACGCACGCCCGACATGTTTTCAGGCTGACCCGGGGATCTGAACCCAGAGTCAGCCATGTGCTTCCAGCCTTGCAAGGCACTTGCATTACTGCTGTGCCATAATGGCAGGGTCTCTGTTTGATCTTGTGCAAGTCACTCAGCCTCTTTCAGCCTCAACTGCTACATGGATATAGAAATAGTGCTCACTTCATGGAGCTACTGTGATGGTTTCACGCGCTCACATAAGCAGAGTTCCTACCAGAGCAGCTCTTCAGTCAGTAGGTTCTGTTATTGTCATCACTTCCTGCAGACCCCCATTTCCTCCTATCCACTGATATAGTGACAGTGCAAGGCTGAGCACCTTTGGATGGTAGTCAGGGAGACTCAGACCAGAGCACTAGTCCTGCAGGGTCCACACCGACTCCCGCACTGCCTCCCCACCTGGTTTGGAGTCTTCTCGGGCTCGGTCCTGGTGGACACTCTCTTACCGACAACAGCCTCTGCTTCCCTGTAGACTGCCCGTTCCTTCTCCCTTTTGGGTGCTTTAGTCTTGTCTGTCTTGGTTCTTTTCCTTCTCTTGGCTTTGTCAATCAATTCCTCCTCCTAAAGGTGAGAAATTAAGGAAAGAGGGAACATGACATGTGTGGGCAACAAACTACCAAAGGAAGCTTGTGTTGAACAAGGTGATAGAATGTCCTAGAATGGACTATTGGTGGGTTTCAGATGAAGCAGAAGAAAGAGCCTAACTGGGAAGGTTTGAAGTTCAGCTTTTGGTTTAAATCTGCTAGGAAAAACTCCATAGGTGAAAAGAGAAAAATATATATATACTCCATGGTTCGAGTCCTGGACCTGGTGGCTTAAACTCACACCGAGCACGTGTGTATGCATGCCCAAGATCCTGAGAGGAGAATGGAGAAGGGATTGTGGCGTGGCCATCCCCCCTGGGGGGTGATTTCTCGCTTTCTGTCTCTCTCTGTCTTTCTGGTGAGCACACATGCCCTATAGCAAACACCTCAACAAAGAAAGAAAGAAAGAAAGAAAGAAAGAAAGAAAGAAAGAAAGATGCTCCATCCTTCAGGAGGATGCCACCAATGCTGAGATGCAAGGCTGGGTGAATGGACCACAGGCTGGATTTCAGCCCACATTTGCCCACTTTATCAGGTGCCCTTGCATGACAAGCAATCTATACAACTGTACGTGGCTGTCTTAGGGGGTACAGGTAGGAACTCGCAGACCAAGATGCTACTTGTCTACACTCACATGACTGATGCTGGCTGGTGTCTGCTGGCTGAACAGGGTCGGTTTGGGCTCCCCGTCTCTTTCTCTAGGAGGACGAGAAGTATCCGCAGCACCCACCCTCTCTGGTGACTGGGGCTCGGGTCCTGGAAGTCCTCTGTGCAGATGGTGTACATCATAATCTCTGTCCCTTTGAAAAGAAGAAATGAATAGGGCCAAATTAAAGAAAAACCTGTTGGAAGGGAAGAGGGCAGGTGACAGACGTTGATGGGGCACCTGCTCTCTGCGGGGCACTGACTCTTCCTCAATGTATCCCTGGGTCAGGGAAATGAGAAAATCGGTCTTTATTTTTGGGATTTCTTCAGGGTAAATTCTAAAATTCAGCGACTAGGAGAAATGGTTTTCCTCTTTGAGGTTGTATATTTATGATTTAAGTTGAATGACATAGAATTATTTAATTGAAAGTTACTACATCAAAAGGCTTAAAAAGTGCAAAAAGGAAGATGTTTTAGGAACATGCAACTATCATCCATTCCTTTAGGCCTTCTTAATATATACATATACATATATATATATATATTTTTTTTTTTTTTAAGTTTTTTTGTTATAGGGCTTATGTGCTCACCAGAGAGAGAAAAAGAGAAAGTACAAGATCATTCCCCAGGAGGATAACCATATGCAAGCTGTTTTCTTCCATTCTCCTCTTGGGATTTGGGGCACACACTCTACATGTACATGGAGGGTTTTTTTTTTTTTTTTTTTCTTTTTTAAGAAAGATATTTGCTAAAAGTTTCCTCTCTTGCTGGAGAGACAGAAGAAAGCGAGAAATCACCCCCCCCCCAGGGGTAATGACCACGCTGCAATCCCTTCTCTTTCATTCTCTTACCAGGATCTTGGGCATGCACGCACATGCGCCCGGCATGAATTTTAAGCTGCTGGGTCCCAGACTCAAACCATGGTTGACTACGTGGGAGTCTAGCAACGTAACTATTATGTCATCTGCTGGTTCCACCTGGCATGATTTTTAAGCCAGCAGGTTTAGGACTTAAACCATGAAGTTAGCCATGTGGAATCCAGCAGGCATAACCTGCTGGCCCCAAGTCCTCTGAATTTTTGTATGTTTTAAATTTTTTTTAATGTTTAAAAAATGTATTTATTTCTTCTATGAGTGAAAGAGAAATAGACAGAGAAGTGGTACTCCCACCAGGGTCTTGATGACACAATCCATGCCCAGATCCAGCCAGCCCTTGACCGTGGGCAAGCACATGCCCAGTGTGCTCAAAGAGGACTCTGGATGTGAATCCAGAACCTTCCCATGGAGTCAGCCTTGAAGAGCGTAACATTTTACCTCCGTGTCACCATCCAGTCCCCTGAATTCTATTCTTGATCAAATTCAGCTACTGAAGGGTTTATGTGCTGTGTTAGTTTCATTTGTTGTGGAGTTGCTGTCGCTGTGTGCCCTGAGGAGAACGGACTTACCCCTTCTGGGTAAAAACAGCCACATGGATTTCAGTCAGGGCAGAAGCAGTGGGCCAGGACTGGTTCTGGGCATTTTCTTTTTCAGCTCGAGTATTATATTTACTGTGCTGTGCTAGTACAGGGCCTTACTGTAGAAACCTGAGAAATACTTGTGGAGTGAGGTAAATGGAATTTCCTGTAAATATATGGGTCTTTAATCATTCAATGTCACTCTATACAAACCCATAGGAGAAGTCTCCTTTAGAATTTAGTGCTAGGTAAACTTTGTTTTCCCCGAGGAACAGATACGCCGCAAATTAGAACCACAAACCTGATCCTATCGCTCTTTTTAAAGTTTTTCCTGTCATGCTTAGAATTTCTGTGTCAAGCCTGAAGTTTAGTTATGATGATTACAATGACCTTTGTGCAGTGTTTATGTTTTTCTGTCCTCCTGATTTTAAATTTATTTTTTATGCCATAAGGTGAGTGCACGTGTATGAGAGAGAGAAAAAAAAAAAGGGAGACAAAGAGAAAGAGCAAGAGAGAAAGGAAGAGAGAGCACCTCCATCAGGGCCTGGCCACACCACAATCTTTTTTCTTCCAGCAGGATCCTGGGCACGTGCACGTGTGCCTGAGTGTTCTCCTTCCTTCCTCCCTCCCTCCCTCCCTCCCTTCCTTCCTTCCTTCTTTTCTTCCTTCCTTCCTTCCTTCCTCTTTCTTTCTTTCTTTCTTTCTTTCTTTCTTTCTTTCTTTCTTTCTTTCTTTCTTTCTTTCTTTCCTTCCTTCCTTCCTTCCTTCCTTCCTTCCTTCCTTCCTTCCTTCTTTCTTTCTTTCTTTCTTTCTTTCTTTCTTTCTTTCTTTCTTTCTTTCTTCTCTCTCTCTCTCTCTCTCTCTCTCACTTCTTTCTTCTTCTTTCTTCCTTCCTTTTTCTCTCTCTCTCTTTCTCTTTATCTCTTCTTTCTCTTTTATGGGAGATTTTTGCTATAGGGCATGTACGCTTGCTAGAGAGACAGAGAGACAGATAATGAGAAATAACCCCTTTGAGGGAATGGCCATGCCACAATTGCTTCTCTTCTATTCTCCTCTTGGGATTTTGGACACACACACATGCACCTGGCATGAGTTTCAAGTTGCCTGGTCTGGGACTTGAATGGCAGTTGGCCACGTGGGATTCCAGCGCCTTAACCACTATGCCACCTGCTGGCCCCTTGAATGATTTTGAAGCCAAAGGGCTTGGCCTTGAATCCGAGTTGGCCATGAGGTACCTGGCCTCTGCATGGCGCCCAGCCACTGCATACAGGGCTGACTTGTCCTGATTTTGTTTGTTTGTTTATTTATTTACTTACTTATTTATTTATTTATCTCTGAGAGAGGGACAGAGAGAGAGAATTCCCAACAAGGCCCTCATGCCTGCAATCTGCCCCCAGCTTCAGCCAGCCCTAGACCATGGACATGTGTGCCTGCTGTGGTGAGAGGTCTTGGAACCCTGGGACCCTGTCACCTGGGTCAACCTTGCAGAGTGTTGTGTTACTGAGGTGCCATTGCTCAGCACCCAGTCTTCCTGATTTAAAAAAAAAAATGTCTTTTTGATTATTTCATCTTTTTTTGGTGGTGGTGGTGGTAGTGGTGATTGTGAGCAGTTTAAATTCATTGTGGACAAAGATCAGATGTGAGAATTAAAAAATAGGGGCTGGATAGAGGTACGGCAGCAAAACATGATGCTCTGTGAGGCTGACTCACATGGGAAGGTCCCAGGGATCCTGGGGAGATGTCTCTGAGTTTACTGGGTAAGTGGGTGCCTGTGACTCAGGGCTGGCTTGGCTGGGAATGGATTGCGACATCAAGACCCTATTGGAGGTACTGATTGTCTTCCTGTCTGTGTTTCTCTTAGAAAAATAAATAAACTTAAATTTTTCTTTTTTTAAATGAGGGACCAGCAGATGGTGTAGCAGTTATTTTTCTGGACTCCTACATAGTTGACTATGGTTCAAGTCTCGGATCTGGTGGGTTAAAATTCATGCTGGGCACATGTGTGTGCATGCCCAACATCGTGAGAGGAGAATGGAGAAGGGACTGAGGCATGGCCACCCCACACCCCTGCGGTGATTTCTCACTCTTTGTCTCTCTCTGTCTCGCTGGTGAGCACATGCACTCTATAGCAAAAATCTCTTAAATTTTTTTTTTAAAAATGAAATTCCTGGGACCAGCAGATGGCATAGTGGTTAATTATGTCGCTGGACTCCCGCATGTCTGACTGCAGTTTGAGTCTCAGACCTGGTGTCTTCAAAAACCACACCAGGGGTGTGTGTGTGTGTGTGTGTGTGTGTGTGTGTGTGTGTATGTGTGCATGTGCTCAAGATCCCAGGAGGACGATGGAGGAGAATCCCCACTGGGGGGTGATTTCTCACTTTCCCTCTCACTGTCTCTGTGTGTCTCTCTCTGGAGAGTGCACGTGTCTTGGGGCAAGCCCCCTGCCCCAAAACAAAACTCTTAAAAAAAAGAAATTCCTGAGGTAGCTGCCTCTGTCTCCAGTGCCCTTCTCCCTTTGTTGAACATAAAACCCTTCTACGAGGGAACCCCTGTGGCCCTGGGTCAGCAGGTTCTCAAGTCACCGAGGCTCATGGAGCGGCGGGTACAATGGGCTATAGTTCCAGATGGAGGCAGAGATGACCACACCAACTGCCACCGTTAAAGGGGTTGAAGTCAAATGACTGAGCCTGACCAGCCAAGCCGCTGGTCAACGAACTCACGCATAGAAAGCACTGGATCCATGGGAGCAATTCTCATTCCTGTTGCTGTCAGAACCATCAGCGTTATTTACCCCAGAGTCAGTGAATGCCAAGAGGTGAAACCATAGATCTGATAGACCTCAGCTTCCCAGGCCTCTCTGTAGATCTCAGATACGTGGCTAAATGGAGCAAGCTGCTTCCACATGGCTAGGCTTCACCCTTCACCCACGCAGCCTAAGAATACGGTTTAAGTAGGAGACACACCGCCGTATAATCCTTCCCGAGGATCTTTGTTTTTTAGACAACAGTTTTATTCTGGCTGCCAAGGGATGCTGTCAGCTGAGAAGTCTCATGCCTTTCAGAAACAAAACAAAACTCCAGAAACTAAAGTAATTAAAGGTAGGGAAAAGCAGAGAAGTCCATGTCATTCTCTGAATACTTACGCCTTTTGTACAGTATCTGCCTCCGGGGTCTGGATGTGTTTAGCCAGGGAAGCACTGAGAAGGTCAGAGGTCACACTCTTTGGCTCTGGGTCTGTGAAAACAAAGCGTATCCTTCAATCAGCAATGGAAGACGGGCAATTATCCCAGGGTAAGGAGATCGGACATGCGAAAATGTCTACTCGTGAGCAGTCACCGACATGAAAGTAAGATCAGTGAGATATAGTATACCTAAGAAATTAGCAAATATTGCAGAAACCAGGGCTGGCACTGGCAAGTGACATTAAAATTAGTACTAAAATACCCTTCGGGAAAGTGATATGACAGTATGTATCAACAACCAGAAAAGCGTTCTAGCCTTTGATCAGGAAGCTCACTCATGGGTATTTATCATAAGGAAATAATTTAAAAGAAGAAACAAGCTTTTTGTACCAGTTTATTTATTGCAACATTGTTATTAATAATGGAAAATTAGAAACAGCCCAACAAGAGAGACTGGGGAAGTAATTATGATGCATTAGTTTGACATTTAAAATTATGGTTAAAAAGATAAATAAGCAGGTGGTGGGGACCTTAAGATGTTGTACTCATTGGGATCAGCAGATAGCGTAATGGCTATGTCGCTGGACTCCCATGTCGTCGACCGTGGTTTGAGTCCTGGAGCCACCGGACTCATGCTGGGCGTGTGTGCTCACATGCCCAAGATCCCGAGAGGAGAATGGAGGAGAAGGGATTGCTGCGTGGCAAGCCCCCCGGGGGATGATTTCTCGCTTTCTCTCTGTCTCTCTGTCTCTCTCTGTCTTTCTGGTGAGCGCACGCACCATATAGAAAAACCTCTCAAAAAAAAAAAAAAAAAAAAGATGTTGCACTTGCACATGGCTGACCACAGTTAGGTTTGAGTCCTAGACCTGGTTGCTTGAAATTCATGCCAGGTGTGTGTGCATGTGTGCCCAAAATCGTGAAAGGAAAATAGAAGAGAAGGGACTGTGGGGTGGCCATACCTCCTGGGGGTATGATTTCTTGCTTTCTCTCTTTTTATCTCTCTCTGGTGAATGCACACACCCTATGGTAAAAACCTAAAAAGAAAAGTTAAATTATACCCGCCATATCATCCAACTATTCTTCTCCTAGAATTTATCCAGGAGAAATGAAAGCAGATGTTCATACTAAAATTTGTATATAAACATTTGTAGTGGGCCAGCCGGTGATGTGGTGCTTAAGAGCACATGCGCCCTAGAGCAAAACATAAACAAACAAAATTCATAGCCTTATTTGTAATAGCAAGAATTTGAAACAAATCAACTGTCTATCAATAGATAAACACTGAACAAACTGGGGCCAGTCCTCTGGCCTAGTGATTAGGGGAGGTAGACCCTTTATGGCCAACCTCACAGTCTGAATCTCAGACTCAGCATATTGAAAAACCTAGACCCATGTGTGTGAACGTCCCAAATCTTTTTATTTTGGAGAGGTTTTTGCTATAGGGCGTGTGCTCGCCAGACAGACAGAGAGAGACAGAGAGACAGAAAGCAGGAAATCACCCCCCGGGGGGGATGGCCACGCCGCAATCCCTTCTCCTCCATTCTCCTCTCGGGATCTTGGGCACGCACGCACACGCGCCCGGCGTGAGTTTAAGCCACTGGGTCCAGGACTCGAACCGCGGTCGACTACATGGGAGTCCAACGAGACAGCCGTTATGCTAACTGCTGGTCTCCGAACGTCCCAAATCTTGATGAGACAGAGTAATGGAGGAGAAGGATTGAAGCACACTATTGGGGTGTGTTTTTCCCTTTTCCTTTCTCTGTGTCTGTCACTCTCTGGAGAGTGCCCATGACCACTGGGAAAAAAAAGAAAAAAAAAAAAAAAGAGAGAGAGAGAGAGAGTAAAAAAAAATAGATAAACAAAGTGGTATGTATGAGGAAATTTCAAAAAATTCTGGGGAAAGGGGCCACCAGGTGGATTAGTGGTTGGGGTGCTGGACTCCCACATGGCCGACAGCAGTTCAAGTCCCAGATCTGGCAGTTTGTTTTCTCACTGGTAAAAAAAAAGAAAATAAATAAATCAAATAAAATAATTATTTTAAAAAATCTGGTGGAGCTGGCAGCTGGCGTGGTAGTTAAGGTGCTGGACTCCTACATGGCTGACCATGGTTTGAATACCAGACCTGGCAGCTTGATTTCTTCCTCTCCCTCTTTCCTTCTCTCTCTCTCTATCTGGTCAAATTGAAAAATAATATAAATAAATAAAAATAAACAATTATTTAAAGAATTTTAAAAATATGTGGAAATATGTAATTAAAGTATGAATTTATTTTAGTGCAAAATTTGGAAATCCATAATAGGCATTTTCCATGAACTTTTGAAGACGCCACATGCATACGTGTGCACAAGCACACACACACACACACACACACACACAGAGGAATACTAGTCAGCAGTTAAAAGGAATGAACTATTGATATGCCAGACAATATGAATGAATCTTAATATAATTATATTGAGGGAAAGTAATCAGACAAAAAAGACTGAATATGGTATGATTCCATTTATATAAAATTCTTGACAAGGCAAACTACTGTGCCATGGGGTCAGTGGTTACCTGGGATGAAGGTGGCGGAAGCAGGGGAGGCATGAGGAAACAGGGTGATGAGTGTTCTCATTTGACTGTGGTAATGGTTTCATGGACATATATATCAAAAATGTATCTAACTGTATAATTCTAAAAGGTGCAATTGTCAATTAAACCTTGATAAAGCCGCTTTAAAAAGTTTAGCGAGGCTTATGTTAATACAGATAAAGTGCCTGGGACCAGCAGTTGGCATAATGGCTATGTCACTCCCATGTAGTCGACCATGGTTCGAGTTCCAGACCCGGTGGCTTAAAACTCACGCCGGGCACGTGTGTGTGCATGCCCAAGATCCTGAGAGGAGAATGGAGAAGGGATTGCGGCGTGGCCATTCCCCCTGGGGGGTGATTTCTAGCTTTCTGTCTCTCTGTCTCCCTGTCTTTCCATTGAGTGCACATGCCCTATAGCAAAAACCTCTCAAAAAACCAAAACCCAAAAAACAAAACAAAAAACAAAACAAAAACAAATAAAGTGCCCACACTGTGCCAGCACATGGTAAAAACAAAGAAGAACTAAAATAACCTCATTATGCTCATTCTGCAAATAATTTTGGTGCAAATAATTTTGTGGATTTACTTTCATATGTATATAATTATACACTCACATTGTCGTAGGATTGATTAAATAGTATATATATATAATTTTAATCTACTTTGATGTTATTAGAATTTTTCTGTATGGTTAAGTATTCTCAGATGAGGTTTTCAATTTTTTTTTTTTTTTGAGAGGTTTTTGCTGTAGGGCACATATGCTCGCCAGAAAGAGAGGAACAGAAAGCAAGAAATCACTCCCCGGGGGGATGGCCACACTGTAATTCCTTCTCCACCATTCTCCTCTCGGGATCTTGGACACAAACGCACACGTGCCCGGTGTGAGTTTAAGCCACTGGGTCCAGACTCGAACCTTGGTCGAACAACATTACCTGTCATTTCCCCACCAGCATTCCCAATACTAGTTAATCTGTTCTTTTAATTTTTATTTATTTACTTTTTTAGAGAGATTTTTGCTTTAGAGTATGTGGCACTCACCAGAGAGACAGAAAGCAAGAAATCACTCATTATAAGGGAAGGCCCTGCTTTAACCCTTCTCTCCATTCTCCTCTTGGGATTTTCAAGTATGCACACACTTTGGCTAGCATGTTTTTTTCCTAAGTCACCAGGTCAGGACTCAGACTTCACAGTTGACCATGTGGGATTCAGTTTACTTTAACCACCATGCCAGTAGCTGGCCCATCAATTTATTTTTTTAAAAAGTATATTTTTAAGCACTTTCAATAGTTCATGTTTTTAAAAGTTATTTATCAATTTCTTCATTCATTTATCCATTCATTCCATGAGAGAGAGAGTCAGGGTGGGGAACAAAGACACAGACACACCCCCTACAGGTCTTCTCACCACCATCTACCCCCAGCCCCAGCCAGTGGAGATCAGGGGCCCCCATGCCTGACATGCTCAGGGAGGTCCCTGGCCACAAAACCATGGCCTTCCCCTCGTGGGTCCCTCCAGCTGCATCACCACTGCACCCCACCTGGCCCCATATGGTTAACACATTCTTTAGTATTTGATCATATTCCCCGACCCCCAGGACCTCTTTGCAACTTGGGTTCGTTCCTTTCTGTGGCTTCCACTGTTCAGAGTGGTATCCGCTCTCTCAACCTCTAGACTTCGGAGAAGGACAAGACTGTCGATCTACAAGGTGGCTGAGGAAATTAGAGAGGTTGCTTAGGATTATACCTTGGGATTTATTTTGCTTTGGATAATAGGTTACATTAACAAAGAGCAGGAGCTGACCAAAGTATCTTCATGCTGTGAGGGTTTCTTTCCAGAAAAAGACTGTCTTATGGAAGGCATTTTTTGCTCTTTGCAGCTACTTTGAACTTGGAGATAAGGCATGATGCAACCAGCAGAGGGCGCGTTTGTATTGACCAAAAGCTGAGGCTCTCTGTTTTACATAATTTCACCATTTTGATGAGAATTGAAACTCTCGTCAGTTTTGGGATGACCACAGGTGACTAATTCCTCTTCCCCCCAACACACATACAATAGTAAAACGACCTGATATTTAGAAAATGTTGGACCAAATTCAGTTCTTTGAGAAATAACTTACACTTTTTAGTAGCTTTAAAATTTTTTATAATGCATCTTAAACATGCAGAGTATATTAAAAAAAAACACATAGCTTTAAAATTTTTTATAATGCATCTTAAAATATGCAGAGTATATAAAAAAAAAATCACCTAATTACCCACAGACTTTCCCTTAGTTTTTAAAATTTTAAGTCACTTTTTTTCTGAAAGACGAAAACACTGAAGGTATGGTCCAAGGTATCATTGTATCACATACAGCCCATTTCCCTCACTCTCTCTCAGAGGTAACCAATCTCCTAAATTTGGTATTTATCAGTCATACACATTTTTATATCATTACCTTATATAAAAAAGCACCTATAAACAACATATTGAAATATTTT